AAAATCCTTACATGTCAAACGTTATTTCAACCAGAATTTTACAAAAATGAGATGCAAAATAACGTCATAGAGGAATTCACACGCCAAGATAGACCGAGGCAGATCCGAGATAAAAGATGGGATCTTTTGTGTGTGAAATCTGAAGGACCCTGCAGCGGAAAAGTTCATAGGCGGAGGAAGGATTCAGTGGGTGGCTGGCGCGAAGTTGGTTATACTTTTGGGAATGCAACGGGACGAGTGAGATGGTGAGGAGACAGAAAATTTGTGGGACGTGTTCCGATGTTGTGGATTTAAAGTGGTTTGGTGGATTTCATGGAGTGAACTCAATGAACTGGAGTAACGGAGTTATTAACAAACGTGTGTATTTGGTTCCACTATGGCGAGTATGGGTCAATGGGTTCCAACTTTCTCTTTCATAGAGACTAATAAAGCACTTATTTTCTCACACCCCCCAATCCCCAGTTCCGAGAATAAAGCGTTGGCATGGACGCTAATGACTTTCATGGAGAAGCGCGACTCGTATTTAGGTTGTTTATCCGAATGGATAAGCGATAGCGTATCATTGCAGACAAACGAATACTTTTTATTGAATTCAAACGCAGGTAAATACTACTCCATCTTGATGTGTATTCACCCATTACGTATACGAAAGGAGGGATGAAGAATCAAGAGAATGGAAGGAAGAAAAACCATTTTGTTGCAGCCTTGAACCGTGATTTGTTGTCTAGTTTTTCCGATAATCCCTACTGGTGAAACGCGGAAAGATGGAGGAATGGTGGAGAATGGAGACAAATGCGGTGGAGATATTGGGTCTCCACAACCTTGAACTTGCATTCAACTTCCCCAATCACAGACCACCAAATCACGAGTTTGAAAACTCCTAACAACGTGACTGGATTCATTAATAAGTATCCCGGGAAATCGTCTCATATCATCTCGCGATTTGCTGCGGTGACAATATTCCGGACTGCAGAGCATGATGCATCGCTCGCAGCAGCATCGAGAGTCTCTTTGACCCGCAGGTTTTATTGGTAATATCCGATTTTAAGCTACCAACTTGAAATCGGTGCCCTACTCGGTGCGTAGTGGTGTCGATCACAATCATGTGCCAAGGATGTCTATCCTCAAATGGTGAAAACCCAAACAAACATCGTATTTTGTTATCACCAGTTTTCCACCCATAGAAGTGGTTGAAAGTTGAGACACACTTGTGTCAGAAACTCAAGATAAGACGAGGAGCGGTCTATGATAATAAAATTGGGACAACTCTGTATCCCATCATTCGTTCGGGCGGGAAAGTCGGCATAGATGAGTATGAACAGAGTATCAGCTCTAAGGCATCACTGATTATAATATCTTTGGCCGGGAAACTCTCCTGAAAGAGCAATTGTGGCAGGGACAGCGTCAAAAGATGGAGAGCGAGAAAGGAATGGACCGTTTGATTACGGCGGAGAAAGGGTGGAGAATAAGCTAGCAAAAAGAGAGAATGAGGTCATTATCTGACTCCATATTGTTCTCGCATTTATTGTTCAGGGAGGTATTACGCGATGGATTCGTGGAGTTCATCACGACAGCTTCGTAATCTAAAACAAATTTGTCCCGCGAAATTAAAGATTGAATAAGATATAATTCTTACAATCTCGAAACTTCAGAAGAGACTTTTACCCATCGTGAAGTAGGAGTTTATATTGAGTATAGTCGGAAGGTGTTGCCGTGTCAGTCTGTGTCGTACGGTTGATCTGGCTCTTTCTCCTTTGACTTGTCAGATGCAAGTGATCGAGTTGATCACTTCTATACACAGCAACTGTCAACAAACAAACCGAAGATCCTATTGAGGGATTGACCTGCACGAAACCCTTATTGTGGATCGCAGGGAAAGCAAAACTGGAAACTATCGGTGGTACAACAGAATTCGATTATATTGAATGATAAAGCTAAAAGGGTGCAGGCTTTGAGCTACAACTATTTACCCTACTAAACTCGAAAGGGTAGGAAATTTGTGATGTACTCTTTGGTTCTATGGTAGTTGACACATCACGTTAATTTCCTGCCCTTAGGTCCCTTTGGTCCTCAGAACCACCTCCACCGCGCATTAACTTCTCAGCCAATGCCTTCGCTTTCTCCCTTGCCGCCAAATTCTCTCTCTCAATAGTGCTTTCTGTTGCATGGCATTTATATTTCCCTTCCCGTATGGCTCTTTTCTCCTGCAACTTTCTGAACTCCTCTTGATCTGCTCTCTGATTAAATGAAAGAGTCTTTCCCATTGAAGACATATCGTCCTCAGTGGAATCAATAGGTTTATCAGCCCACGCGATACCCTTCCCTTTTCCTTTTCCATCCCGCCTCAGAATACCTTTTGGCGAAGCTTGCTCATCCTTTTTTGCAGTTTCGACTTCTCCTCGATATTTTGATTTTTCCCTTTCAAACTTGGCGTGGGCTGCTTCGCATTGCGTACGGATTTTCCATTGAGCTGGACTTTCACTTGGCAGTAGACGAGAATCTCGAATGGCTGGGACGGGGAAAATAACGGGCAGATGTTCAAGCTTTGGGTTCGGCCTTTGCTGAGGCTGTGTTACTTTTGGGACTAAGGGAGACATCGGAGGTATTTGAATATTTTCCCTTGGCCGATAGACGAAAGGTCGGTCCGTTTCTTCTTGTGTCGATCGGAGAGCCTGCGGTGGACCATTCTTTTCAGGTATGTGATTGCTACCATAAAGTTTTTCACGACGAGGGGGTTCCGGTAAGCCACTACTGTGAGCTTGTGAATCAGCTCTTGCCATTGGAAGTGCTTGTTTCACATGCGCCTGGACTGGCGGTGAAGTCCCTTCTGTGTAGGCTGTCCTTTCTTTCTCCACTGATACTAGTAGCTCATGTGCGTATCGATTTTCACCACGGCTCCTAGATTCTAGCCCGTTTCTTGCGGAATGTGGTGATGCGTATTCTGGTCTGGCATATGCTAGGGGACTCTCATCTCGAAGTTGCGAATCCTTATTCTTGCTGTTATATACTACTTCTGTCGTGTTTTCCCAAGCCCGATCTCCATTCACAAAGTCTTTGAACTGTTCTGCACCCTTCATTACCATCTCTTCAGCAGTTGCGATAGCTCGATTAACACTTTTCAGAAGATTCTTCCGCGTACTTTCGTCATCTTGCCTTATTGCTCTTCGATGGCCTTCGCTTGCCACCCATTCTTTGTTCAACTTTCTTCTAGATTCAGCTAGTTGTCTTGTTCCCGTAGGTATCTTTGGCGATCTTCTTCTTTGATCCGGTGCAGTTTTTCGATTCTGCCTACCGGTTTCACCGTTTATGATATCAATAAGCGACTGTCGGAGAGAATCTTCGTCGTGCCGCATATTATGCTCAATCCTCTCATCAATTATATTTCCCGACAAAACACCTCCAGTCCCCGAAACGTTCTTTGGTTGTTGCACATCGGTGATGACTACCTTATCACGACCATCAGCACCAGGTACTATATTGTACTTGATCTCTGCTCTGTTTTCTCTGAGATCTTTCAGAGCTCGATCTTGCCATCGAGCATCTATTTGCTCTTTTGCAGCTCGGCGACGACCTTCCATTTCCAAGGTTTCTTTTTCACGTTGAAGATCCCGCAATTTGATCTTTGTGTCTCGCCAATGTGTAAATCCTTTCGAATCTGGTGCTTCGTGTTTAAGTGAAGTTTTTGAGCTTTTGGGAGGAGGGCTCTTTATATCAATAGCAGCGTTGCATAACGAAGAAGGGCCCTCTCGTGGTGTGTTGGCAGGTGTTTGAAACCCTAGATCTTTTATGACTGGACTGGGATCACGCTCAAATATTGCACCTTCCTCTAGCGTAAGACCAGTAACGTGTATTCTTAGCTCAGATGGTGTGTTTGCATCAGTGTTATATTCAAAAATTTGCGCAAGCAGCTTTTGCCGCAACTCCTGGGCGGATGGCGTTGTGCTACTTGGAGCAGTGGTTGATGCTTCGGGGATGGATGTGTCATTCATCATTATGGCTTCCGTAAATTGCAGAGTAGTATGAGACGGCTAATCGTACGACGAGGTTACTCCAGCAAAATAGGCTTTCTGAGACAAAGTACACTTGATGCCAAATGTTCACTGAAATATGTACACCCGTCACTTGCTACGGCAAATTATTTACAAATATTATACACGGATTGAAAATGATTACAGAATTTGTGATTGGTTTGATTAAAATTGTTGCTAGTAACTAAATCCAACGGTGATTCAAAGGTGCTACTGTCGTATCGTGTTATACTATCAAACTTTAATTATGACTAGAAAAGTTTGTTTGGGGCCCTCGGATAATTACGCCCATTTTACAGCGGTTGTTTGTACTATGAAGAAAAGCACAAATACGGAAACTTTTTGTCCTCAACCATTTGTTTCTTCTTGAGACAAAGTGACTAATGTTCACAATAAATTCTCTTTCGGAATGAATGGAGACTCCGATATCACCGTCAACGTAACCCATTGCCATTGATCTAACATTGTATGCATGAAAGGTTTTACTCTCTCATTGTATAGAATGCATGTAAGCAGTCTTTTGTTGAAGACACTTCAAAGAAAAAGAAGACGTGATTGCCTTCAAATGTCTGTCTTGATAGTCTTGAAGAGTTCACTTGGTGGACCACCCATGAGAAAGACAATTCTCTCTCATCTTTTTTCCATACCTTAGAGGCATGTAATGAGTTTGCAAGAAAATTAGTTCTTTGTAATGCTTCAACCGTATTCTAATATAAGTACGGCGAAATTTCCATCTCATCATCAATATTCTGCCATGGATCTGGAATCGTTGACATCTTCAATCATGTCATCAAGTAATTCCAACGCTGTCAATGCTGCAATCGCGGCTGGATTTGCTGCACTAGCAGCTGCTGCCACCATCCAAACCAATACACAAAACGCCGCTTTGCGAACCAATCTTTTGCCGAACCGAAAAACGAAGCGCGTGCCGTCCTCAAGAGACTTACAGAATTGACACTCCAACTTTCACTGATGGATTTGGATCAGGATCAAAATGTAGTTGAAGCTGACACACTAATCACTTTCACCCCTCCGACTGTCTTTACCCCAGCAATGCAAGCACACTCTCCCGCCTTTGAACGCCCATTTCAAATACGCCACTTCCGACCTCCATTCGACGTCTCAATTCATTCATTCAGCGGCCCCATTCCACCCGAACGTGGGGGTACAAAGTGGACACCTGCGCGCAGCAACGCTCCACAGGACGAAATAGCAGCTGCTGAGAACTGGGAGAAGCGAAAGCAGATCCTCTATCACTTCTACGCCTAAAATTATTTCGACACTCTTCCCGATTTTCCTGCCGCAGAAACTGCACTTAGAAATGCGTCTTCAGCTGGACCCGAGCTGAAGATCCAAGAACGTTCGCATTCTAAGAAAGCCAGTTTGGATCTGCTCAATCTCACCGATTCTGATTTCAATTTCTTGAATCACACTTCAGAGCGGATGGCCAATCTCGCGCATGATACACACTACAGGCTAGCTATCTACCTGAGGCACATGCGTAGCGAACTCATTGAGCCTACCACAAACCCATCTATCAATATCATTCTCGCATCTACCAGCCATCGCGAGGCTTTGTTATTCAAAATCTTTGAGTACAATAAAGATCGCCATCCACGCGCGAGATTGATGATGCGGTTTTTGACGGACGCGGATGTGAAGTATCTGGAAAGTTTGAATACATTGTTGATGCCACGAGGGAGCGATAGACGAATGGGAAGTACGGAGAGAATCATATTTGGAATTTCCGATTTTGTAGAGGACGGTGCTCGCGGAGATAGATTGAATAGACGGTTCGATGAGAAAGTTGAAGAGTGTTTGCGTTTGAATAGATGCTCGGAAAACCCTACGCATACTGTCTATCGTGGTCTTCCAGGTTCCGAGGGGATTTAGAAGATAGTTGACGGAGAACACACGGGGAGCATTCAGTACTGGCAGTGTACTGCGCTGAGTTTGGTCGTGAATATTAGCGATTTGTTGCTTGACTAAGGGGCAGTCAACTCACAAGTAGAATTCAGAAGATTGGTCTTCACTGTCCAAAATTGTCAATCCCAATGTAGAACACCCTGGTGATTTGATGGGCAGTATTAAACCGAGAAAAGGTTAGGTGTACCTCACGTAACTGCAAATCTGAAAAGGTAGCGCATCATCACATTCGTACCGGCAGGAATTGATTTGGAACCAGAAGTCTAATTAGCAACGAGAAAGGTTGCCTAGTACGAAATGATATCGATACGTGCGTTTGCGAACAAATGTAATATGAACAACCGGGGAACTTTGATTCCCAGAAACGAATCTATATATAGCTGTGATCTTGGTAATTTCTTTTACGTTGTGCCTTTATACCTATCTCACAATCACGTCAAAATTCCAGAAGGCCGCATATTGACATAAAAACACAAGTTTCATACATTTGTGCCACTAATCTAAATTAGCACTATCTCGCTTATGCGCCATGCTGCCGATATACCCAAACCTAATGCTAATGTAACCAATTCCAATTCACCAAATCAATGCAATAACAAACAATTCCAACTTACAGCCCGCTCGGGCCCGCTTCCTCATCATTGTCCTTCCCATCTCTTGGCTTTCCTCTCAGAAATTCTCCAAGTGTGTTACTCAAACTCCGAGCTCTGGTTTTTATTGAACGGTTGAATGATTCACGTTCTTCTATCTCTTGTGCTGCTTCATTATCCTTTAGAGGTGCATCAATATCCTCATCATCAGGCGCGCCCTCGCTTGCTTGTATAAGCCTTTGAGACACCGATTTTGATCTTCGAAGATCGAGCTGCCGTCTAGAGGATTTGCTGCGGGGGGAATCGACTCCACGTCTTAATGAATCTGCTATTACCACACTTAATCCTCCGGATAAGGGTGATAACAATGGACCAGGAAGCATGCGAGATAAGGAATAACTTGTTGGCGTCATTGGTCGCTCCGCTTGGGGCGGCGAGGGTCCATTTTGTTGACTTTGAGGGGTATGAAAATGAGATTGCGTATTATTTCTAGTGGGAAGTGGCCGTATAGGAGGGGATGATTGAGCCTCGGAAGGCAGTACTGGGGATGAAATACTGGATTGTATACCTGGGTGTTTTGGTGTCTGTAGGAAATTTTCATTTGAATCCAGCCATGGATTGGAGATTAAAGGACTTTCCTCATTTGCAGGTCGATCACCAGACAGATCCGAAGTACGCACCCGTACTACTGGATGTCGTGATGAAGATCTTTGTGGTGTTTGTGGTCGTGATGGTGAAACTACAAAGCTAACATGTGATGACCTCCGCGATTCTTGGATTACTTCTTCGTCGACTGACCCATCACTAGCATGGGTAAGGGTCGGCCTTGACTTCGACTGAAGACTAGACCGTTTCCGTGTTTCGTTACTAAATGGAACTCCGTCGCTGGCAGGTTCCTGGGTGGAGAGTCGAATCCTTTCTTCCTCACCTTCAACATCCGCTTCACTAATGTTCTCATCGTCGTGCGATGGCCTACCGCTGGTAATGAGCCAAACCCCGAAGAATGTCAACATACAGCCACCGATAAATTTTACTGCATTTTCGCTAGTGACCTTTTCGAAATCACGATAGAGGATTGCGCTGCCAGTAATGACTGATAATGTGAAGATGACGAATTGTACAGGTATAACTTGAGTCGAATCGAAGCGTTGAAGGGCCCGGTTGACATATCTAACCTGCATAATGGCGGTAGCGACCAGCACGAGCAGAAGAGCATATGTAACCGGTGTTGTCAACGCTCTCCAAAGAGTAGAAGAAAGCATCGATGATACACCCTTGGTTGAAAGTGCTGTATAGCCTCCTAAATATTGATAAGCTGAGTGAAACCGGTAAATAACAATGATAACTCACCAAACAATCCAACAAGCCCAAGGTCAACCAATATCGTTTTCTTGCCATATCTCGGGCTTGCCCACATCAAGATCGCAATCAACACTACTGTGACACCCATATATATTTCAAACTCAGTTGTAGTAATAGCACCCCAAATCTCATGCGGACCAAATTTCTTTTCTTCTTGCTTGGCACTCAAGACGACTGTGACAGCACCTGCAACAGCAACTACCACTCCCCAGAAGTCCCTGAGTCTGAATTGTTCTTTAAGCATGATCGGAGCTATTACACAGTTCGATATCAAGGCGACGACACCCAAAGGAGAAACGATTGATGCGGGCGCAAAGCCATATGCCAAAAAGTTTCCAAGCTCTCCAACAGTCATCAAAACAATCCCTCCCCACCAGTATGGAGACCGCAAGTATGTAGATTTTTCATCCCCATCATTGTCCTCTGTGCAAGTCGAAGATTGAGAGTTGTGGGAGTGAAATGATCGTCGTAAAGGTTCCTCTTCACCACCTTCATAGTTCTCTTCGACAATTCTAGTACTATCTGCTCCCGCTGTTCCAATTGTTCCATACCCCCCCGCAGATTTCGAAATGGCCTTCAGCCTCTCTTTCCGTCGTATCTCCCCCTCATGTAACCTTATATGTGCATACCGTTGTATGTTTAGGGCGAAAGATATGAGAATATTGCCCACTATTGCAGTGACGATTCCAATCAGCGATGACCAACGCTGGATCTGAGAGTCGCCCCTAATATATACATTTGATTCGAATGGTAGAGACTGCGGTATCGGTGTAGTGAGAAAGTATATGGTCTCCGCATTAAGTTTCGCCGTCGATAAATACATGGCAGCGTGTAGCGTCTTATTGAAGCTATCCCGATGATGATGATTTCACCCCACTCATAGTGTACGTACAGGGGCGGCCGAGTCTGATGAAGATCTAAACTTTGTTCACTGAAAATGAAGATGGTATGAATATTTCTCTGTTATTAAACATACACAACAATGAGTAATATTAGGGGAGAGGCTTGAATTTAAAGGGCCGGTTTGATTGTTGCATGAATTATTAAATTTTCTTTCTTGATATAATATGAAGCGCGCCTTTCCAGATTATAGTAATACCTAATGCCTGCCTGCCTTTTGTGGCACTACGGCGAGAGCGGGAAACGGGTTTTCGCGTATCTACGAGTCTACCTAGCTCGAGCCTAGTAGGAACGACCCGCAAGAAGCTCTGTTCCCCAGGCAAATATTCAATTCAATCTTCACGATCAATAACAAAGCTTCAAGGTTTCAACGTGCACACCTGGTCAGAGGCCTCACTCATGTTTATTTACCTCAATTGATATCTCATAACTATATCTCAAGTAACTACCATCTTCCTCTGCCACTCTCTAAAGATAATCACAAACAATACCTGGATATCAAAGGTAACCTGCGAAGAGGGACCATTTGAACAATGAGCGACGACGAAGATTTCCAGATTGAAGGCCCGGAACTAGCAGAGGATGATCCCATGAGAGCTTTCTTACCAGCGTCCTTCGGTAAGAAGTCAAAAGAGGCAGATGTAGCCGCGCAAATCGATAGAACAAGACGACCAGCAGAAAGGAAGGCCGAGGCGCCAAAGGAGGCTACTGAGGAGGTTGGACAAGAAGTTGGACAACAGAAGCTCGCGTCAGAGCCAGCGTCTAAAGATTGGGGCTCTGATGAAGATGATGAAGATTCCGATAGCGATGGGGGCTCTGACGACGACGATGAATATCCAACTTCTCACGAATTGATACTGAAAACTCATGAACGCGCGGTTACTACCACAACACTTGATCCTTCAGGTTCACGACTCATTACTGGTTCGAGCGATTGTACCCTCAAGTTTCACGATTTTGCTTCTATGACCCCAACTACTCTTAGATCTTTCAAAAGCGTGGACCCAAATTATTCAAAAACATCAGCAAATTCCGAAACTCATCCGATAAATCATGTTGAATTCAATCCCCATGCCGGAGGTACCTTTCTCTGTATATCCGCTCATCCGCAAGCGAAATTAATGAACCGAGACGGAGATATTATCGGAGAGTTCGTAAAAGGAGATATGTATCTGAGAGATATGAATAACACAAAGGGGCACATTTCGGAAATTACTACAGGTACATGGAGTCCGATGGACAAGAATATTTGCGTCACAGCCGGTACGGATAGTACTCTACGAATTTGGGATGTGAATGTCAGAAGATGTCAGAAAGAAGTTATCGTCCACAAATCCAAGGCTTCAGGCTCAGCAGGAAGGACAAGAATGACTGCCGTTGTTTGGGGAGGCCCAGCACAAGGAGGAAACAATCTATTAGTATCTGCAGCTCTGGATGGAAGCTTAGTGATTTGGGGTGGCAATGGACCATATGCAAGACCAACAGCTGAAATCAGAGACGCCCACACTCCGGATACATGGACGGGTGGTATTGATATCAGTCCCGATGGCCGAATGGTTGTTACACGAGGTGGTGACAATCTGATCAAACTTTGGGATACTAGAAAGTTCAAAACTCCCATTGTGACAGCCTCACACCCCTCAACGTCAGATGTCTATTCTGTTACTAATATCAAATACTCACCCAATGGTGCCAACATCATCACCGGTTCCGCATCGGGTCATCTACATATCTTAAACTCGGGCAATCTCAAACCAGAACTAGTCACCCCTGTGACACCTGGATCTCCGCTTATAACAGTTCAATGGCATCCAAAACTCAACCAAATTGTTACTGGATCTGCAAATTCCGAGGTTCATGTTCTATACAATCCGAACACCTCTGTTCGAGGTGCCGTTGACGTAATGTCTCGTGCACCAAAGAAACGCCATGTTGACGATGACCCAAACTTTACAACCGATCAATCTGCTGGTATGTCAGGGGATAGTATCATTACTCCAGGTGGTGTCATGTCTAATATATCGGCCACATCATTTTCTGCGAGACATCCTACTATAGGCTTGACTGCCTCAGGCCGTTCTCGAGATCCACGCAGACCTAACCTACCACTGGTCACACCATTTGCGAAGAGTCAACCAGATGAGAAACATATTAATGAAAGTATCACACTGAGTAGCATGCGTGATGAGGATCCCAGAGAGGCGTTGTTGAAATATGCTGAGCTTGCTAAGACAGACCCACTATTCACCAATGCCTGGAAAGATACTCAACCGACAACTCAGTATGCTGAAATAAGTGATGAAGAAGATGACGGGCCAGACAAGAAAAAAGTAAAGAGATAATCACTTTTAACGACGAGATATTCGCACTACTTCTATAGGGCGAGGAATACATCGGGGATCAAGGGGTTTATAGAGATCATCTAAGACTAAGCAATGTTCCGGCAAGTTTATAATATGATTCCTGATTATATGAAGCAATACTCAAAGCAGATTTCTATCTTTAGATCCCAAAACTTACGATGTTTGACCTATCTACACCAGCCCGTCTTTTAAAGGAGCAATCATCGACGTGCTTTAATTCTTCTCTGATATGTCACAGCAAACGTGGTGATAGCAAACATTCGGAAAAGCATTCAATCCCCACGTAAGCCTGAGAATAGGGTAGGCAATAGGTAGAACCCGTCTCACCTGCAATTTTGTTCAATACCTAGTAGGTTCATAGTAATAAATATATACTTTATTCATCATACATTCATTCTATTGTGGCTACCGTCATTCTTGTAATTGAATTTTGCATTGTAATTCCCTTCATTAACATGAAATATTTTGTTTGTTCAAACTCAAGTTCCAATTTTCAACTGATAGCTATCAACTCTCGACTCTCACTCAATCACATATCAAATCGCCCCATTCTGATTCTCGTCTCAAGCATTACTTGACTTTCACTCTCAACGCCCCTCTCCCCTCCCTCGAAGGTTTTGCGGCATATCTGGAAAATGATCAGTTGTTTCAGAGAAGACCTTTTGGTTGACCAGTACTATGGGAACATTGTGTTGATTACATCGAATGGATATTAGAAGGGTCTCGCGGTTCTATCTCCAGGTGTAGGTTTGTTTTTCGGATATGGATATGACTGTGGAAAGTTTGGAATGAGGCATGAAAGGAGAAGAAGAAGATGGGCATGTGAGACGTGAGTATTCAATGACTTGAAACCCAGGAATCAATCAACACAAGCATCGATTTCTCCAATTTGCCCCCCTTAATTAAGTCCCGACGTTGGAAGTTGTAGATTGTTACTTCACTGTGAGGGTTTTGCTTTGTTCCCCTGTTTTACAGTTCAATTTCAAAATTGAAGTCTGGAGTTATATTCACTTTTGTTACAGTAGAATGATGTATTAACAATGTGTAGCAAGCGATCAGCCAATCCTGGCTATTGTAGCGGGAGCCTGGAAATATCACAATAAAAATAGGTAACCGCATCTCCCCCGTCAATAATCAGAGTATCGTTTCAGGAGGTCGAATTTATATAATTCATTCAACTTTCGAACTCGGAGAAACCTTGAAGCTCCAAGTTACTGCTCCTTTTTCTTCAAGCGCGCAAATTCAAGCAAACAAAACTGCGGTTCAAGGTCTCGTACCCAAATTTACATTATTCACAGTCATTGAAAGGATAGAGAAATCGAAAACAGACAGAGGCCGTCCATCTGCCGTCATGGCTACAGAAGATACGGAGATGGGTGGAACTTCTGTTGTGCCTTTGCACGAAGATACTTATCGAAGTTTTGACTTTCCACCATTGCTACCATCGCCATCATCATATATCTCAGAGGTTGCCATAGATGCTAATAAGAATCCTCCTTTGGATAAAACCTCAAGCGCCTCAGTTTCTTTTGAATCCACAGAGTTACTCGCAGATCCGCTAATCTGGAGAAAGACGAAGAAGGAAACGAACGGTGTCAAGCCTCATCCTAACTCCATCATGCTTCTCTTAACCTTGACAACAATACCTCAACATACAGGAGTTTCTGCGACCAATCACAGCAACCTTGCCGGACTTTCAACTGCACCTTTGCAGTCCGATTCTCTAGCTCCCACTGTAGGAGTTCAATCGCGGAAGAGTATTACTGAGAATCAATACCAGAATGAAAATGTGACATCTGAATATGATAAGTTGAGTGCGATTATTGATAGACATCATGCAGGTTTTCCAACAGTTCGGCCGTCTCCATCTCTGCCTTTACCAATTACGAGCGGTGGTTCAAGTAAGAACCTGATTAGTTCCAAGGACGAATATCTCGGCCCATTGACAATATCTGGCCGCCCGGGTTTATTTGCGACCTTGCGTAAGAAGTATGCAAAGGTCACAGGATCGTCTTCCCTTCCGCCAACCGAACAAATTGGCTTGAATTTTGATGCAGATATCACTACATACAAACCACTTGAATTATCAAAGGCATGGAGAGTAATGAGAGTATATGAATTGTTGCTCAGGGCTGTTGCAAACACCGAACCTGGCAATGTTGAAGGCCGTGTCGAAATTCTCAACTTCTACTTACAAGAGTACCCTTTGCAACGCTTGGTAATTTTAAAGGCTCTTGAAAACGTTGGGCACTATTTTCCCAAATTCTCCAAAGCTGTATGATACCTTTCGTTGATTTCTATGACTATTACATTGCTAACATATATTCTCTTCCTCTAGATGTCTGTCCATTCAAGTAAGCCACACAGAGAGCAGTGGAAGCTAAGTGATGATTTCAAAAAAGAGAACCCGATACCTCCAATTGTAAGTTAAATTTCACAACCTTCGTCGTTATTTACTAATAGTTAATTTTTCCTCAGATACGTCCTCTGCTACCCTTCGCATCTATAGCAGCCAGCTACATCAGAAATACTAAGTCTACTCGTCGAGGGGGAACATCATCACTGCACACCTACAAAGATCACCATTACCACAACGGCCTCAGATGCAAAATCGAACATGAAAATGAAAGCTTCCCATTGGGTTTCAATCCAACTTTAATGCACACTCTCGGAAAATGCTGCAGACAACGTCTCCGAAACGAGAGGCATGAGAGACATAAGGTATACAAGAAGCAGGCCAAGAAGGGATTGTCGCATGTACATAGAAATCCTATCTTGTCCGAAGAAATCATCAAGGAATGTGGAGGAGAAACTTATGCAGAGCTGGTGGGAAGAGTCGACATGGATGATATGAGAAATGCTGCATATTGGGAGATGACCACTCGACAAATTGAGGAGATGCCTACTCGAAAAGATAGATATTCCGTTTTCAAGAAACGTCCGTCGCCATTAAGGAAGGAATTGCCAAAATTAGACAATCATTGGATTCCTGACTCTGTGATGCCATATATGAAGATATCTGGACAGATAATCAAGTTCGAATCAGAAATCGTGCGAGCCAACAAGCGCAAGCAGGATACTGATAATGAGGCAGAGGGAGAGGAAAGAGAAATGTATGAATCTCGATGCAAAGTTAGAAAGCTCGATTCTGAGAAAGTGGAAGCTCGGATGGCCCAATGGGAGAGGGAATACAACACAGCGAAAAAACAGATTCTGAAGGAACATGAGGAAGAGATGAAAAAAGAAGAAGAAGAGATGCGGAGATTAAAAGAAGAAAAGAAAGCTGAAGAGGAACGGGAACGATTATGGGAAGCGCAAGAGAAGAGAATTATAGAGAAGGAAATCCAGAGAAAGGAAAAGAATGAGCGATTGCGTATGGAGCGAGAGCGTGCAAAGGACCGTGCGAAGGACGGACGGGAGAGGCGGAAAGAAAAGAGAGACCGTTTGAGATGGGAAAATAGGGAGAGATCTGATTGTCGTGTTACACAAGCATGGATAGATCTGGGTGCTGATATGGCTCGTGTTGGAAGTTGGGATTGAGGTGAGAGTTAGGGAGAAGGGATGTGTCGTATGAAGAAATCCTATTGGGCTGGATGCATATGTACCACGTTCAGGATTGAATTGAATACTTCGAGGTGTAAGGGGCTACAAAGTATTTAGAATGATGGAACTGATTTTTCCTATAGGACACTGTTTCGAGGTTTGGACGTTGGAGGAAAGAGTAGTCGAAGGCACGAGAAGAGCGCCTGGGGTGGACATTCATCTCTACACTCTTCGCAATCTTAAGAGTAGCTTACTTCTACGATACAAACAGTAGGTATTTAACAGCCAATTGAATGACTGTAGGCTGAATTTTCACCATTAGCAATTTCTGGCAGCAAGCTAGAAAACAAATGGCAACTTCTTTCTCATGAGTCTTTTTTTTTTTGCAATGTATTCCGTCTTTGTTGACTGTGTCCAAACCTCCTCAACGGAACCTGTCATTCGCACAACATTAGAAATAGAGATTGGGAGAGAAAGATGGAGGAGATCGTTGTAGGGATTTTGGAGGAGTCGACGGGGTCCTGGATGGTGTTTATGTGAGATATTGGGGGATGGTGAGGAGGAGTTCTAGGGGTAAATCTGCGGTAAAAAGAAGTACCTTGCGATGCTGATAATGGTGGTCTTTCAGATCTATAATAAAGTTCCATCTGTGATTAGCCGATTATCTGTGTGATCAAGAACTTGGAGTAATGATCTTTATACATATCAAGGTTCCTTAACGTCAAAAAGATTGACAGAAAGACGCGAATCTGCTTTGCTATCTTGTCCTTTCTTTCATATAGCATTACGGAAGATTGGTGACTGCAATATCATAGTACTACCTAGGTAGCATTCGAGATTGATCCGCTTGCCCGTTCGAGACGAAAGTAGACAAAATGGACACAAAGATGTAACAAATGTGCCACTTGAAAATTGATGATCAAATTGGATGACATTGTGGTTCTGATAGGTCGGGCTTTTGACCTAGAAGTTTTGTTGCATATCTCATTTTCACCTTTCAGACAGTTCTTGAGCAGATTCACAATTTTATCTCTTGTTAGAGCGTTCTTGAGGTTTCATATATCCGAAAGGGTCCCATGATGATATTTGTCAATGGTCTGTGGATCCCATCCCAAGTGTTACCCAAGAATTGTCCAAAAGGTGAAAATAAGACATGCAACAAACCTTTTTCTATACCAAATCACGTGTATGAGACACTTAGTAGATTCAACCTCTGGAGTGGTCTCATCTAAGATGTATCATAGTACAATAATAAAGTCTTGCTCGATAGATTTGAATTTTCAAAGCAAGGCACATAGAATGAAGACGGGTATGATTAAATCTATAGAAATGCAACAGAAGTTCCGGGGAAAGGTTGAGCGTATAGATGGAGATCACTAGATGGTATCATAGCAAAAGGATATTTCAAGACTCCCATCATGTCTCACCCCACCCGTGGCGTTCCTCTACTTTGGGATATGCGAACGAGAGCCCGTCCCAAAACGTTTACTAGCAGAGATGAGATGGAAATGTTTCAGACAACAATTGAAGATGAAACAATAACAAATCCTGGGGGACAGGCTCGGTTGGGAATTCCGGAAGATATGATGCTACACGTCCCATCTGACATACATTGAATAGAACCACCTTCTCGCATCTAGAAAATCAAAAGATCCAGTTTAATAGTGTGGCGTGTAAATAGAAGTTCCTAGTGGTCGAAACCTACCAATGAGATATATCGATCGGGAAGCCACAGCGTGGTGTTCAAGTACTGGTTGACGAGTTGTGAGGCTGATGATACTTGGTCCATTCAAAAGCTCCAATTAAGCAGGCTATGCATAAGCGACGTTTCAACAACTTCTGTAAGGCACAAACTAAACTGTACACTGCACACTGTCCACTGTCCAGTCAAGCAAGATCCATATCTGCGTTGTGAAGACATGTCCCAAGAATGTCTAACTTTGTTGTTTGTTGGATGGAAAGATCATCTTTTGCACAACGCAATGATGACACGTGCCATTTGAAGTGAGGTTAGCAGGGAATTAACTTTGGGGCGGAATGGGCCTTCTCGTTTTGCTGTCAATCACGTGGAGTTATTGTGGCTAATTGGCCATAGCGCCAAGCGCCAAAAAAAACTCATGACCCCTCGTAACCCAGCCTCCTCAAGAATGGATATGACGGTTCTACATATGCAAGAGGTGAATCATTGGGTCATAATGTTGGACTCGAGGTTCACTGCCACGTCTTTGTTCAGATAGTTTTGGAGAATAACTGTTTTACAGTCGTTCGTTAAATTGCTAACAGTTCCTTTCCTTAAATTAACATTTTTAACAGGACTCGATTATATTCAATACTCACCAACAATGTATCATCATACTCCCGAATCACTATTACCTCGGACAGACTCGAAAAACCCCAATTCAACATGTCGAGGTCTATCATCAAATGGAAAACCATGTCGAAGAGGTCTGACTAAATCACCACGGAATTCACCTAGTCCGAGTCCTTCAAGAGGAGCGCTGAGTCCAGACGCATTTTGTTGGCAACATAAAGATCAAGCTGGTCAAACTGCCCCGCCTACTCGGCCTCGACCAAATCCCCTGCGTGAGAGATCAAGCGTAGACACATTGGTGGAGAGATTGGGTCTCCTAGAGGTCGACCAAAAGAAAACTAAGGGAAAACAGCGCCAGACTTCAGAAGATAATCGTGGCAGACGACCTGGGACGAGCAATACTTCGAGGACTGAGCAGCAACGCCTTGAAGCTCAACGGCAGCAACAGGAACAAGAATGGCAGCAGGCACAAGCACATCAACCGCAAGAACATCTTGAAGTTCCACATTCTACAAATGATGGCCAGGGACGACGCAAAAGAAGCACTCTAGAATTATTATGTTGCGGCGCAGAAGACGAGGAAATTCCACCAAGACCCCAACAAAAACCACACGAAGGACGTTCTTCATCTCATGTACCAAGCTCTCGTATATCAGATCATCTTGATGTGACATCTCATACAACTCGTCCTTCTTCAAGACCTTCTTCAAGACCGCACACATCGTCATCGAGACCTTCAACTTCCAGGCCACCTGAAATGCTTCAGCGTCCTACTATTGAACGTGATCCATCCACGAGAACCGGGGAGTTTCTAGCTCATATTCCTTCATCAGCAAGCCCTCAGACAACAGCTGCATTATTAGCGGAATTAGCTAAACCAATCTCTGATGCTGATCTTCCTGGATTTATTTATATGTTCTGGTTAACCGATGAAGGGTTACCCACGGGGCCTTCCGATGAAGCAGCTGGATCTCTTCTGACACCTACAACCAGAGCTGGACCCGGTCATCGACGAACTTCTGATGTTCTTGAATCCTTTACTTCTGCTCCACCGAACAAAAAGGAGAAAACAATGCTTCTCAAAATTGGAAGAGCCGAAAATGTTTTCGCCAGGATGCAACAGTGGAAGAAACAATGTGGTTATAATCTTTCATTGATTCGATACTATCCTTATCACGATTCGTCCAAACCACCATCGAGAAAAGTTAGCGAGAATGAGGGACCTCAAAAGGTGCCAAATGTGCACAAGGTCGAAAGATTAATTCACATCGAATTAATGGCTAGAAGAGTAAATTGCGGAAAATGTAAAGCATGCGGGAAAGAACATAGAGAATGGTTTGAAATTGACGCCAACAGGGATGGGGTTACGATGGTAGATGAGGTTATTAAACGATGGGTAGACTGGGCTGAGAAGGACGAGGCGTCTAGACATTAGATATAGAGGTTAACATACCTAGTTGATGCGGCGTCATCATAATTAATTACGGTCTATTATATTCTTCACTGCAATTCTCGAATACTCGTTCAACGCTTCAATATATGCGTCCATCCCGTGCTCGTTATATACTGTCGTGTTACTTAAAGTCCCACATTGAAGATGGGCAGGCTGGGTGGAGTTGGCTAGTGCCGATTCCTGCTCTGCTCATAATACATGCGTCTGTGAATTCAATAATTCTCGTTCCTTGGTATCGACTTGACAATTGATTTTCCGGTTACAAATTTGGAGTCTGATAATTGTGTGGGAGGAAATTTTCCCCTATGTCAACCTTCGCGTAAGATAATGTCAGTGTGTTTTTGTTCCAGAACACAACACAGCCGCTCGGTTTGATAGTATCTTATTTTCAAGAATACAACTAGATTGCAAAATATTTCTATATGAAACATTTCTGAATGGCCACTCGTCGCAAACACTCTTGGTGGTTGGATCAAATGTGAATCAGTGGGTTATTAAAGATATTTATTTCCTGTTTGCTATCCAGTCGATTCCTTCTGCGCATTTTAGAGTACCGATTCGGTAACTTCCTTACTCTGAATATACGTGTTTGTGCAAAAAGCAGTCGTGGACGTTCACAATCATTGTTTGTTGTAAGACAAATGAATGTGAAATGATGCATCCTGAGAAGTTCGCGCATGAATCCTTGAGACTTTGAAAACTTTTTCAATCATTCAGTAATTAAACCCCCATTCACGATCATTGTATTCCATTTGCAGTTTTTCCAATTCAACGCATTTCGAACTACAAGTGAGATATAAAAGAACACCCTTTCCCACCACCCTGTCAATAGATCCAACCATTCCAAACATTACAGAACTCCATTTCGATCAAATTTCATAATAAGATTAAGGCTGTACAGCAACGTCATATCTCTATCAAAATGCCCTACTATTACTCTTATCCATACCCTATCCACCTCTATCCGCATTACGTCCCCATAGCACCTGTCTACCCAACCACAACAGTAACTACAGTCTCCGCCCCAGTAATCCAACAAACGCCAGGGTTTAATCCACTTCACGGACAAGATCCCGGTCCTGCACCTCCTGGCATAGGAAATCGTGTTGCAGGTTATGTTACTGGTATGTATTGCACATCGGTGAGTGGACCCCGCGAAATGCGCGAATGAACTAATTTGTCGGGTAATAGGTTTGGCGGCAATAGGTCCTCCGATACTGGGTGTTGCACCAATAGCGGTACCTCAACCGCATACTCCGGATCCGTGTGCAAATTGTCCGAATCAAAATGCGAATACTACTACAGCGGATGCAACTGCTAGTCCACCTACTCCAACTCCTGAGCCCAAACCTCCCGCCACCAAACAGAAATCCATTCTCAAACCAACACCAATTCCTGCTCCCAATCCAGAATCTTCATCTTCTTCACCTCCTCCATCTCCCAAAAAGTCTGAGTCTAAATCCAAACTCGAACCCCCGCTCAGTATCCTTACTCATGCAAATACAAATCAAAATGCAAACCCGAATCCGAAGCCAGGATGCTGACAATCATTGAAGAAGGATTGTCTTCCTCTTGGGAAGAGGTCCAGTGAGAGTTTCTTAGTGCCGTCGGGGAACAGGGTCAAATTTTGGGGGGATAGTGAGCGATAGTCAGCGAGGAAAGATTATGCTTCTTATCTTTTATATCATATAGCGAGTCGTTGATCGTTCGAGAGTATAATAGTCATAGAGGAGCACGGCAAGTGCGCGGAGTCTGTAATAAGCTTTTTGCAAAGAAGGGATAGCTCAATGCCATATGTATCTAATAATCCCCTCATCAATTTTTCTAACAATATGTGCCATTTCCCTTGTCTATCTCCTCACAGGCCACTGTCTAGTAAACCCAACGTTACATTCCATACCGTGCTGAAACACATACCAAAAACACTAGGCAATCCAGTAAAAGTTGTTTTGTATTATTCCCATATCTCAAATTGATTAAAGTTTGGATATACAGTAGAGCAATGAAAAGTTGTAGGTCCGCGAGGACAAACACGATGAAAGCGCAGCAATTATACAGAATCCGGCATTCTCTGCCATGGACGGCTTCGAATGTTTCCCGTTGGTAAACGCGATATCCTGAAGGCCTTTTACGGGATTTTGCATAAGATCTACGGCTCTTGATACCACTTTGGCTTGCCATTATACAATTTTACTTCTGCTTTATGGTGGAAGGAAGACTTTGGATGGAAAATATCCTTCGCGATCCAAGTCTGCTGCGGATTGTTTTCCATTATGGCTATGGTCATCTGTTGTGAGGTGAATAGAATTTGATTGGCGTACGGGGAGTTGGTACGATACTTGCAGTATCGCTGCATCTTTAGCAAAATGGTATATTTCTACTTCCAAGAAGAAAGGTATTAATTAGTAAACGAGTTGTGATAGCAGAGACGTATATGAGGATAAGGGCTTAGCTAAAACGCAATACCTCTGTGAGTCTGTGACAGGATCTTCAATAATTCTCTATTTGGGCCAACTGGTCGGTATTATGTAACATTATTCTAATCTCCATCCCTTTTTTTGACGACAACGGGATCACCTAACTACGCAACTACACCCACGGATTTACTACCAAACTTTATCTTTGAATCCACCCTCCTTCAACTGCTTTCAATAATGGACTTTCCACAGCTCCTACTATCATCCTCACAACATTTGCACGCAATTCTTTCTTATACACGTCTCCCTGCAACATTCCCACCCCAACGCAAACAACATTCAATCCCATCCAACCCTCTCTGGTCTTAGCATCCGCTGCCCCATTTCTAGTCTCACCATCCGTTACTCCACTCGGTGCCTCTTCATCAACAACCTCCTTATCAGTCAAAAATTTCAACATAGCGCTTATGGTCGTCCCAGAACTAATCACGTCGTCAATCAACGCTATTCTCTTCCCTTTAATCAACGGCAAAAGATTAGGATCGAGATAGACCGGTGGTCCTTGGCCTGGTTTGTCGAAAAGACATGATATCTTGGTGGTGAGTTCGTCTCCATACCAGGGTTTCTTGGAGTAACCCCATGGGATGTGGCGATCTTGGGGAAAATACTAGTCAGCATATCGTTCTTGTTCGCTTGCATCGTAGAAACCTATTCCCCTCCGACTCCACCGAAGACTTGGAAATACAAAGCCGAACCAAGTATTCTCGCGACTCTTCAAGTAAACGTAATGGAATAAAAGGGGCGGTAGACGAAATTTAGCATGAACGAAATGATCAACTTACCAAATCCTAGTTCTTCCGCCACAAAAGGCGCCAAAACCAATCCACCAGTTGGCAATCCCATCACAACTTCTGGATTGAATTTCCTTATCTTGCTCGCCACAATCCTGGCCAGTTCCTTCACAACCGTCATCGAAGCATGCGGTAATGCCAATGAACAAACAGCAATGCCATTAGTTGCCTCGCCTAGTGGTCTGATAGGAAGAAGCAAGCTTGTATATGGAGTGAGAGATGCCGCGAAGGAGTATTGGTAGGGAGGAGCTGTTGAATATGGGAGGGATGCAACGGAGGATGTGGGAATTATTTCTTGCCAGTAGGTAGTCGTAGGGCGGGTGAAATGGGTATGGGTTACGGGACCGACAGTCTCGCAGGGGTAGCAGGGTATGTAATGGCTGGATGATTCCATCGATTGGTGTGTAGATGTGGATAATGGTGCTGAGGCTTTGTTGTTGGAAATTTGTGTATCTTGTTCGTCTGGCCGTGAAGCCTCAACGAAAGCGGCATCGGTAGAAAGCAGTGATTGAGCGGACATTGCCAAATCCGTTTGTAAAGTGTCCTGAAAGCTAGGAGATTCTAATTCAGTATGAGCTATATCAGTGGGATATTTGTCATATATATACAGACGAAGTAGGCTTTCAAATAAACGATTCACTCATTGAACAAAAATTGTGACACCTAGGTACTAACACAAGTGCGGAGATTACCTTGCGCAACGTGTAGCACAAACTTGGTGAATGAGCCGCGCAGGTCGTGATCATAGTAGAGCGACATAACGACGTACAGCGCATAAAGTGTTTCTGATTTAAATATATACTTGTTACTATATGTTTGTTGCAACCCGTAGTAAGCCAGGAGACATTTCTCACCATCTTGCCACAATGAGTCATTAGAGCTCTTTATATCAGATTTCATTGAAACTGATTACTCAATCTAAGATATGAATGAAAGCAGACATTTATGGAGTATGTAACATTCATTGAAAAATTGATATCAGAAAGAAGAGTTGGATGGTTTGGAGAATGTGGTAGGAAAAGTGAGAATTTACCTAGCAAATTGACCCTTCGCAATGGACACGTCAGATTTGAAAGATATGAAAGGAACAAAGAATATTGCTGAAGCTGGCTCGAAATTTTGTTATTGCCCGTTTGTGTGTGTAATTGCATACACTTGTCCTCCAACGTCATCATCAATTTATGGTATATCGAATCAAGGCTCGGGACAAGCAGTGCTCATGCCCAGATGCCTTAGACTGGCCTTATTCAGCAGCAAGACCATTGCTCTGATCCTTCCGTTCGACTTCCAAACGTCTATTCGGAGCCACGCTTTCAATATCAGTCCTACCATTAGGCGTCTGTTCATGACCATTGTCGTGAGTAACATCTATCAACTCTCCCGCATTCCGACTAAGTGATGAGACCTCCGAGCTCCATTCATATCTTTCAATGACCAGCTCCCGTTCTAACTGCCAGTCCATTTCTTCGTTATTTCCAACATCATGTGAGTCGAACTGCTTGTCCCCAACCTTACACTCGTTTTCTGGTAACCATTCCTCTATCCTATATATATGCGACTTCAAAGATGTCAGAAGGTACTCTTTAAGGTGTTTGGATTTTGCAAGAAAATGGTGATTGGGTCGATTGAATGTGGAGTATTGGTTGCATCGACGAAGTGAGAGATTATTCCGGTATTCTGGTTTTTGATACCAATAGCGACTATCCTGAATACGGTGATGACCCAAGTGAGGATCATTATAAGTTCGAGCTGATGCGTATTGTACATGCGAGCCGTTTCGGTTGCCACGACTACAATGTGCTTCGTCATAGTGCCATTCGGTACGTCTTTTTCTAGCACCACCGCGCATTTTTACATCGTGGTGGCTTTCTGATTGAAATGGTATGGTGTTAAATGAGATGATAAATAGACTGAATCGAACATTAAGAGAAATTTGTATCTTTGATGGATATCCTACGAAAGTTCTGGTAGGGCCACTGGACTCTTCAATCGTTGACATTTTGATTTGTTTTGAATGAGCATTGTTCTGTCGCAAAGTTGCCTGAATCAATTGTGTCAATGGTAGCCATCGAACTTTAAAGTTGTTTCAGGAATTTCCAAAGAAACTGACAGAAAAGTCTATACATTTGAGGCCGGAGTATCAAATAATCGCACACTGCTACCCAATAGCAGGAGAATTGCAATCTTCAGTTAATTTCATCTGACACGAATAGTCGGCTCTGAAAGAGTTATGGCCTTCAAGACATTGAAAACTTGTGTTAGGTCGGATGGTCGAATATTCGAATCTGACTGCAACACGCTCTCGATGTACCAACACCAACCAGTTCTCCAATATTTTCCAACAACCTCCAACATGGATTCTGAGATTGATCGGCGAAAAGATCGCAGATGTGTACAAAATTTTGTAGTAAGACTTCAAGATTAGGGCAATGCTTGTCAATATGAATGAGTTCTCGATTTCATATCATACTTTCATGCCAGTTCCAATCTTTCACCAATTGTTTGACACGATAATTAGTCGCCCAGCCAAGATCAATTTCAATGTCCCTCAGCAAGTCAAGTATTACTTTCCGCTCTTTTGTTTCTGTCAAGCATTGACCTGCGATAAATAGAGGCTGCACTTGGTGAATTCTCACGGAACCTTCCGGCCTTCCTAGAGCAATGCCGCAGATTTCGTGACTATGGTGGCGAACCTCCATCTCAATAGACCGATATGAGTGGAGCCTGTTTGAAACGGTTGTTCTCTTTGTAGTGGATTCGTGGGGCTTATTGGTAAGTAGGAGGATCCTCGTAAAATGATATGACTGCATTGTTGAGCCACACATTGGAATACTATACCATATTTCTGGGAATACAGTTCTCGGTGAGTCTTGTGGTAGGCTGCCATCTGTGATTGTCGATAAACGAGCACATGGTTTGAAGGTATCTGGTAAACCTCGATACCAAACTTCCAGCTCGTTTGCCAGCTCGTGCCATCTTTCGAGTAGAGTCATTTGATTGATACCAAAAACAGCGGTAGGACTACCTCTATCCTGAGGATAGACATTGTCGATAGAATCACCGGTAGCAATAAAATTAACAATTTTCGACATGAGCCAAATCAAGGCATTTGAAATCATATCTTCACGCATAGACATCTGCAACTCTGGATATGAACTATCCTTGTTGCTTGGAATAACAAATCCTTGATCATCTATCAGAAGTCCAGCCGCACGCCAAAGATCCCAATCTTCTGTGTCGAGTCGCGTTTGTCCTTCATTGATGACTAGTTTAAAGTTAGAATCATCAAAAGTGTGAGGGTTCAAATACTAACAAGCTGCCAGAAAGTCCTGACGGGCGAAATTCCAAAATGTAGCTCTCCTGGCAACCGAAGGCTTAGTCCGAAATGATAATGATCCTGGAGTGCTAGGTGAAGGCGAATGAAGAGGCATCATGCCTTCCCTTTCCGCTAGGTCGAACAAGGACTTAGTTCCACTAAGATGTCGAGACCAAGCATGTAAAGCATTGTCGAGAAATTCATAAACGCAGAGTATAGCAGCGGCTGCAATTGTCTCATCGGCGTCACGGTGCATCGGCTTCGATAGTCGCCGTCGCTTATTTGATTGGGAAGGAGTACTCTGTGGTGATTCAATATTTACTGGGGAATTTAAATGACCATCGATCGTGGGTGTACTAGGAAAATCTTTTGCACCTGACTTGGAGAGCTCCTCTACTAAGAGCGAAATTGCTTTGTCGTAATATTTTGCACTGATGTAAACCCAGTCGACCTTATCCGAATTTGGATAGAGCTCCATAAGTGCTTGCTCACTGACTAGGCCACCAACTATCGCTTTTCTTCCCCCAACACGCGAAAGCTGTTTGGCAGCATATGCGCATACTGAGTATTTGAGAAGAGGATTCGAGACGGCGAGAATGGGGACATGGTGCGCGAAGTAGCACCCGAGGTCGAATAAATCCATCCTAACATGATTAATTATGCTTCCGATCTTGATATAATCTCAACTCACCATTGTCCGGTAGTCTCTCCAAAATGTCTCAATAGAAACGCAACTTCATGCTCTCTCACACTATCAGCATCACGGAAGAAAGTGTTCGTCCTAGAGAGTGATCTTAGAGATGGATCAATAAGGGGTGAGTCTATCGCAATAGCATTAGCCGAGGATTTAATGAACAAGAAAATTATTTTTGCCATACTCTGACGGGCTTCCGGTCTTGTAGGGTTCAATATAAAGTCGAGGTTATTGGCAGAGTGCTGGGGAGTGTTGAGACTTCTTGGTGATTGTGTATGCACCGATAATTGAGGCTTATATTCCATATTCGTAGTCGCCGCCGTGGAAAGAGCTTCCAAACCAGGTGCTTCCTCAAACTGGGGGTAAGTAGAAACGTCATTAACAGTCTCGTCTATAGTGGTTGCGGTGGGAAGGGTAGATTCTGTGGATTGTTCAGGCTCAGGAGTCGCTTCCATGTTGTATGGATCGATGACATTAAAGAAAGTTACTGTCAATTGCCAAATCAGATTCCAAATCCTTCATCTCACGATTGATCTTCACTCCGGTAGATTATAACGCACTGTTCTTTGGCACATCAACCCAAATGCTGTTCTCATCAAATGTATTCCTGTACGCAAAAAATGCACCTAATCGGCCACTTTTTTCACCAGAAATAACATCTTCACCGCCGTTCATCGAAGCATTTTGTTGATGTCTGAATACTACTCCGTCGCTAAGTACACATTGTCTTGAAGCTTTGCGACATTGTCCACATTCTGGCTTGATTTCGTCGCACTTGAGCTTTCGTTGGCGGCATGTTTGACTGATAGCACGAAGGCGCAGATTAGCAAATTGGCCATTGAAATGAATTCTATAGTAGGCAATGTGAGAATATATTTACCATCCTGTACGCGACCGCATTGCTGCGGAGACAGCATTATTTCCACCCGCGGTTCGGGGTAGATGATGCGATTGTGATCAGGTCAGAACTCCTCATATTGTATGAATGGTTTGAAATGATTTTGTTCGTGCAGTAATACGAAGCATTTACTTCACGATGATTCCCCGCAGTAGTGCCAGACAAGGTTGATCTAGACTTTTCGGGATGTCGGAAGGCCTGAAGCGGAGGTCCGAACAGCGGGGGTAGGGGGTATTTGTATTTTACAATCACGTGGTATTGAGCCCAACATTTAAAATCACAACCTCGTAGGTTTATTGATTGAGCAGTGGATATAAACCTCTCAAAACAATAAAGTATATAAAGAGACATCGATGAGGACCTCTGATTCTCCACCGTGTTGACATGAGAGATAAGCTTGTCATGTTTAGGTCCAAACCGTCAAACCTATAGCAACATTCTTGGGTTACTACAGATAGCTATAGGTACCTAGACAAAGTTATTCTAGTTATGCAAGAGAGAACTCAGAATTTATCATTATAGTGTCGCTCGAATTAGTGCTCGAGTATCATCCAGATACATTGAATAGTGCAAAATGATCAGGTTGTCCAATTTGACATGCGATTATGGTGTGAATACTAGACCTCAGAGTTTGGGCCGTGTTACTAGGTCTTAAATTCCTACCTACATAATTTGACTCCCTTCTAATTTTGAACTTCGTTTCATATGATTTGCATTACTCAATAAAGCCACGATCTCCATCCAAACTCAAGCTATTGTCACATCAACCCACAACAGCAGCAAGGCATATAATTTCTGCTAGAGCAGGCAAAACTATGAATATGTCTAAGGCTCTCAAGGAGAGTCCTCCATCTCTTTTGGATTCCTCGCAACAGTGGCCAATTATGGAAAGCATCCGCTCAGGACTGAACTTTCACGATACCGTCAACCTATCCAGAACTTCGAAACGGTTTTCAATCTCGCCAGAAACGATGTCGAGGACTCAGTTAAACATCAACTCTATTTCTCCAACACTTCGTTAAAGACCCCGAAGCGCTCAGATTGAAAATGGCACAAACCAATGCGGTTATCGTTGGTAATACTGTTCTTCATTTTTCCAACAGGTCTATACGATTAAAAGATGGAATGTGTGTTATTGTGGGGGAAGCGGATAATCAAAAAGCTCTTAAAAGGGTTATTTGTAGAGAGGCAGGCTACACGTACCTTGAAGACGCATCATCCCACATAACGAACACGCTTTTGCCTTGAGAGTGGCCCGCACGGGTTAGAGATGATCGAAATCCTCCAGGCCCAAAAGTGTGTGAACCTAGTTTTATATGTAGGGTAAGGAGCCATTAGCTTACAGATATTTGCCATCACACACCAACACACTTTCGCTATATGTCAGACGCGATGATGAATCTCCATCTAGCCACACGCCCATTCGTGTCACTCACGCACTGAGACCACCTATCCTAGCAGCTCTACTGCGCTTTCCGGATACCTCGTCAGCGAACTATATTACATGGAGCAGCATACTCACTATTTCCTAACTCAGTGCTTAGGCAGCATTATGGTTGTATGGATCTCGTCCTGGTTATAATCAGATGATGCCTAAATATGTTAAAAATGGATGGAAGTTACTCATGCCGTCACCTATCGAACATAGCCGAACGTCCTCGGAAACAAAGAAGACGAATGGAAAGCAACACTACCCACAGTTCACACGAGATACCTTCCGATGGATTGGCGACAAGCACACTTGAATGATAGAACATCCAGAACTACCACCTAGACTCCTCTTGGACACAACTAGACTTCCAAAAGTTTCAGATAAAGCTACAGGGCTGAACTTTTTTACCGTCACTAAATTTTTTTGTCAATCCTATTTTGATTTCGATGGCCCTACATTTTATAATAATGAGAGTTTACTTTACAACACAACAAGTCTGAAGCATTGTTATGGAAACACACACCTAAACGTCTTGGCCATAATGTCAATAACCAGCTGGTCTCATACTCACAGAAGCAAGCGCTCGACAAGCTTTCTCTTGATCAGACTATTACTTTGCCAGAGAGCAAACCATTCTTACCTACATCTCTTGATGAAGACCACGCATGTGGGGTTAAAAGCCTCCCCGAGACTTGTGAGTTCTTAGATTTGAATGAGAAGATAGAAAGCTTGTTTCAACAATGGAAGAAGATTATAGGGTTAACCCGTAATGACGAGGAAGTCAACAATACACAGAGAGTATCGGGAGGAAGCAAAAATCCTAATAAATCACCATGCCTTGAGCTTTGGAAAACGTAAGTAGTTGATTTGTAATAGAGGTCCTGATTACCAGGACTTTGGATAATGATTAGATGGTATCATTGTAGTAAACTATCAGCGTCTTGATATTGCTGCCCAGAATATTTGCCATTTGTTAATTGAAATGAATTTAAACCTATTCAATTAAAGTCCTACCTATTGACTGCGCAATACATCGCCAGTATTCATCTTTGTCGCTCCACCCCAGAACTAGCATTACGAAGTTACACATGTCATACAAACACTCTCGATCAACGGACAATGAAACTGGAATCAATAAAATCTTACCCGGACCACAGGAATCAGAAACTATCTACTGCCAAGTAGTCAATTCCACTCGCAACTTAGCCCTAGTCAAAATGCTACAACATGTCCCACACGGTATCTGCAAATTATGGCAAAGGAACGACTACTTGAACTAATGCCAAACGTATCAGCAAAGATGATAATCTCGAGCAACCACGTCAAGTGCGAACGACCTAAACTTTACATCTGCATACACTCCAAGTCGATGTGTATCTAAGCGAAACGGACCAGCACGGCAAATGTCTGTATTGACACCTCATTCGAGCCGCCAATGATGATTGTTACATTCCGTCATGAAATGATTGCAGCAAGGACAACTTCAAAAGTAGCCCGCCTTGAAAGAACAGCAGTAGTCGCATTCTTTGAGCTTCTCTGCTTTGGCCACACCTAGATCCCTAGGTCGTGAACCCCCTACTCCATCACGGCCAAGTGTAATTAAGTTTTTGCTGCCTTTCGTTGAATTGAGATCAAAAAAATCCTCGTCCTTAAGATTGCCTTCGGTCCGCGATGTTTCTCCTTCCCCCCCACCAGATTCTGAATTAGCAGAACTCATAAGTGTAGCACATCGGACGACAGCATCACCTCCGTTAGCCTGGGTGCTACTTAGCTCAACGTCTAGTCTCATTCATGAAGGACTAGTTGTCCTCTTCAACAATTATTATCTCACTTATCTCAACATACCAACATATCAACAACAAATCGAATAAATGAATCAAACTGGATATCATATCGTATTTCTAAACAGACACGCTAACCACCCTATTCTACCATGAACAACATCGCATCATCACACAAGAGCCCCCATGCCATACATAAAACATTGGATATAGATTCAACAACTCGGTCCCCTTTGCTTTCCTCAACTCAAACAACATAAACACCAAAACATCAATCAATTCTCATCAATTCACCAAACCCCAAACACCAACATCAAACCATGACTTATTTTCCGTCCCTTGCCGTTCCTGCCCTTAGTCCTTTAATTGCCATTTCCCATTCCATAAAACTCAGTTGCATATTCGCCAAAACAGCCAGCTCATCATATAACACATACACTACGTATCTCAATTCAACGCTTCTGCCCCAATCCTTCGAGATCGACAGTCGGTAAAGATAAGCAAACTCAAAAACGTGTCTTTGCCTCCATTCTTGTAGATGCTTTTATATCTGCGAATAGATCCACACAAAATTGACTGCCAATACGGTTCCGCTTTTCGACACGATAATTCTGCAACCAAGATGACATATCGAATACCGTAAGCTCCGTTTATGACATTTGGCCGTGGCGAAGTGTACATGAAATCGATTGCAACATTGAATCCGATCATCGACAAAGAAATCGTTTGCATTTCGTTCCCTTGCAGGATATTCCGCTCCCAAGATGTGTCATTTTCTCAAACAACAATTCACTCCACTTATCTATACCCATGATGTGATAAATCAACACCATTCACACCTACTCCCATATCATCTCCGCCAGTACTAGCTCGCGAGAAGTGACCATGATTGAACTCTGGTATACTCCTGGGTAGTGGCATACCATAACTACTTCCACTTCCTTGTCGTATCGGAGGTCTTCTTCCACCGATTCCATTTCCATTCACACTGGCAACTCCACTGCTCATTTCGCTCATACCACCAGGACTCGAAACCCCGAAAGGACTCTCTCCATTTTCGACACCAAACTCTCTCTTGAAATCCATTCCGTGAGCATGACTATTCAGATCATGAAATCCCGGATAATCCAAAGCCTGATATTCCATTCCGGGATTCATGATAGGCGGTGATGTGAAGGGAGTGGTTTCGGCGGACATACTGCCGGTGACACTTGGACTGCTCAATTCCTCAATTCTCTTGTCGAATGCCAATCCTCCATTCGGATGTGCCATCTTGTAATCGTTGGGGCCACTGGTAGCCATAGTATTGTAATTCTGAGGAGGAATGCTAATACCAGTGTTTCCAAATCCATCAAAAAGGTCAACATCCGCGCACATTTGAGGGTTCTCGGGAGCATTCTGTAACATGGGATTTACAAGACCAGGAAGGACGTCGTGAACTTTGTTCAGAAGGAGAGGAAGAAAACGATGATCGCCGTTGCGGAGAATGGAGAGCATTGTCATGAATTGATGAAGGTAGTCGCGTGGACCCATTGTGAACGGATCAGACTTCGCAGGGAGAAGGGAGAGAACATCGGTTAATGAACAAGCGACATCGAACAGCTTCTCAATCTATAAAAATTTACAGTTAGCAAGTTGGATATAGAGACAATTAAAGGAAGAATACTCACCAATCCAACACCGTGAACTTCCATGCTCTGATGACTAAATTGACTTGTCATCTGTGCCAAATCTCTGGCAATATCGACTGGATACTGAAATGTCATACTTGGGTCATCACAGTTGCTACTGAGACATCCATTTTGTATACTCAATTGCCATACCATTGTTCTTAGCCATTGTTGACTAGTTCTGAGATCTGCTGTTTGATTTTCTGTCGTGTTGAGATAGACTGGCAGGGCTTCGGATAGTTGTTTTTGGAGAGATGAAAGATAGGCTGGAGAACAATCGGTCCTGGTCTTGTTCCAGAGTGCGACAAATTGATCATCGAATGGTCGGTAGACGTTTACGAGATGGATGAATCCATGCAAATGATGATTCTGGGGATCAGTGGGGTCATCGTTGATCGAAGGAAGATTAATCGTGGCTTGCAGAGACAGAGGTCGATGGCGTCGAAGCGCATATGATCTATGACTTTGTTAGCATTTGATACTGGGTTGCCTTGACGCTAATCTCACCTTTCTGTGACGAACAACAACCAATATAATCTTCGTCTTCGTGATGATTCAACAATATCAAATTGATGATATGTCTCCTCTTTGACCATTTCCAAGGTGTGTGCCAACGTTGTAGCTTCTCGTAAATGAAACCAAGCCTTATTATGTAGATCCAATCCGTAGTAGCATGCAAAGATGAAAAAACTAGTGACCAAGCTGTTTTGTGTAGGTGATTCGCAGTAGTCGTAACTTTTCCTAACCTTCAAGGTCTCTTCCAGTAATAAGGTTCCAGAGACAATGTTCGCGCCTGGGAGATTGTCTAATCCAAGAGGATCACCAGGTATTCCCATTCCAGGCTGGATCATCATGAATGCACACATCGCGGTTAAGAGACAGTAGGTATCGACATTCTGATCAACATATAGTGCTTGTTGCTCTAGTCTCTCCCTGTGCAATATTGGCATCGTAGGATACATGTTCGCGAAGAAGAATTCCGTACATTCCTTCACCATTTCCGTTGTAAGAAGGCCTGGGGTTGGTGCGAGTGTAGGACTGCATGGTGGACTTTGAACACCATTCATGCGGTTTGCAGTTTTGGCTGAAAGTGATGACTGTTGATTTTGTCTTAATTCGCTGATAACTTTGGCTCTTGAACCCTTTGGTCCTTTCTTTTGTGGGATAGCATGATAAGTGCAAGACAATTGTGCTGAAGAGCAATTGCGACATGGGTTGATACCGTCACATTTGACCTTTCGACGATGGCATGCGTCGCACGCTCTTTTCACCGAGGACGAAGACGACATGATGGGTGGTGGAAGAAATTAAGGCAGATGGAGATTTAATTTTGTTTATCGATACGACGATCAATTCAATTGATAAGTCTAATCGAATCGGCTGAGGGTTGAGTCGAGTCCAGTCCAGTCCAGTCAAACGATAGAAAAGCGAATAAGGCTGTAGAATTGACGATCAAATTCAAACCTGTACACCAAAGCCCCGGAATGTTCGCTTTTGGGTCGATATTACCTAGCACTGCCTAGCACTGGAACATAAAAGCCAGCCTTATTGTACTATCTGTACCAATAATTTTGGTATACTTCGTGTGATCGATCTCGACGTCGTGCTAAATAAAATGAATCTGTGTTCTAATTGTTGTCTTGTGTCGTCTGGGGTATGTGGAGTTTGTTGCAAAAGTGTATTTGGTGTCGGTGCTGTTTTGGATAGCTTGGTAGGCTCGTAGGATAGAAAAGACGATAGAATCAAAATATTGGATTTCTGGAGTACTTTATTCGGTCCGTATAATCCTGTATGGCGGAGACGGGATGCTCATTTCATGGAGATGCGGGGGGTTGAAGGATCGTGAGGTCGTTATAATTGGATGGAAATTATGTGAGGCTGGTGGCTTGAATTATATGATTTTGATTTAATTCACTCTTTTTTTCTTTCTTTTTGAATTATGATGGTGAATGTTGAAGGGTTGGAAGAGCGAAGAGCGAAGAGTGAAAGAGGGAGTAATAGAAAAGGTGATAATAGTAATAAGAAGGAAAAAAGGAACCAATCTTTTCCAAGGCTTAATATAGAATCGAGGATTGTTTGGAGAGAAGTGAAGGGGAGAAGAAAAACAATGGTGAAGCTTAGGCGTGTTTGTTGATATTAAAGTGGATCCGCGAGAGTCGATAAATGACAGTTAAGTGGTTGAAGTGGTTTAATGTGGATTGACTAGAGACTAGGTAGGTGTGGTATGGAAAGAGTGGATGTAGTAAAGTGGAGAGAGTGTGAGGAAAGAGGTAAGAAGAGGTGAGAGTGAGGTTACGGTATTCGCAGAATTCCGTGGCTATTCAGAGGATATCTGTGTCGTGTAGATATTGAGGTGGTTGAAAAGTGTGGAAATCGAAAGAGAGGTGTAGATGTAAGTGTGTCGATGGGTGGATATGGGATCTGTTGTACGATGAGGGGTGAAGTGAGGGTTGAAGTGATGATATGCCTTTTGATGGAACCGAGTGTATCCGTGGAGACTGGAGAAGAAGGTGGTGAGTGGATGGGTGAAGATGGGAGTGCAAGAGAAACGTGGAAGCTAGAAATGAGTGATGGATGAGATGAGATGGGATGGGATGGTATAGTATGGTATCGTGTGGTATAAACAGATTATTATGTCGTGTGGATGGGTGGATGGATGATGGTTTGAGTGAGCGAGCGAGTAGCTGGGTGAGGTGAGTGAGGTGAGGTAAGAAAAGGATTCGAGAGAAATATCGACAGTTCAATTGCGATTGATAGGTTCGCTTTTTTTGATAGGTGCAAGCAAGCTGATGCAATTAAAAACTCTCCGGAGACCAATTAAAGGAACGATCGTATGGTAAATCCCTTCCTTGCTGCTTGCTGCTTGCTGTCCATGTAATATGTAGGTGTGTGAAAACGAGATAGATATACCGGTAATATCCCATCAATTTGGTTCAAGATTTTCCTTAATTATGCTGCCCTCTCTTTCTTTCTTCCCGCCCTTTTTTTCCTTGATGCGTTTTGCCTTCTTGGTCAACAGGCCAGAAATTCCATTCAAGTCACAGCTTTCCCTTCCTTAAACTCTTTTGGGTCGAGCATAAAAACTAATAAGTAGGGGATGACTATACACTTTCACCAACCAGGAACAAACAAGGTGCCAACAGGGTTGAAGTCCACGGGTATCTCTTTACCTACCTGGGTGGTGAGTAAAACTCCTCCACAAGTAACGTAACAAATAGGCTGTGTCAGCTTAAAGACACTTATTTCAATATTCCAATGGGATATCAGAGGTTCTACCTGACATTCAACGGGGGCAATCCACCTGACTCTTGTTCACGAAAGAAGGAGAAGAATCAAGA